AAAGAGTGGGTGTTCCTTATTCTCCACAGTGAGGTGTGTGCTCTGCCACCTCCTGTTGGCTTCCAGGAGGCAGAGGGCAGTGAGAGATGCTCTTTGGCTGCTCTCCCTTAACACAGGCTGTGGTTCCATCCCAAGAGCTGCAGCAGAGAAATGTCTCCCATGTACTGGTAGACACTTTGGATTCAACGTCCCTGGACAAATTTTGTGACCTAAAGGGAGCACCTACCTAACCGTGTGGCAACAGCACATCCCATTCCCTCACAAGTATTCAAATAAACAGAGCAACACTCAGGGGAAACAATTTTTATGGGACACTTGTGCTGGTGAGTGACATCCCCTGGCCCTCCAGACCCTCTGAGAGCACAAAACCCTGTTTGAGGGGGGAGCTCTGCAGCGGCACAGGAAAGAAGGAACAACCAGCACCACCTCCCCTGCGCAGCTGAGCATTCAGGAGGTCACTGCTCGTTCTCAAGGGAAGCAGCAGAGCTCTGCCAAGTGATTCTGATGGGCTCTGGCTGGGGAGGGCAGGGCCAGGACCATCCGTGAGGCAGCTGTGGCACTTACTGGCAGCCAGGACCAACTCTTTGTGGAGCTTGTACGTCATGACGGGTTCAGAGAGGTTCCTGCAACAACCAGAGAGAAGACTGAGCTCTGCAGGGCAGCACAGCCTGCCCCTGACTGATGCCCAAGGGCTGAACCCGAGCACCCCTAGGCAGCATCACTGAAGCAGCTCTCTCCACGGGATGGGAAGGTTCTGCAACAGGCACAGTTATCACAATAAACCCACTCCTCTTCCCAAAGCCTTTGTGACTTTTTCCTTTCCCACAGCCAGATGTGAACATCTGGCAGCTCATCACACGTTTCCCCTGGACCAAGTGTGACCTGCAGTGGTACCTGAGATAGAACTTCAGTGAGCTGGTAATGGTCTTGATGTCCCAATCCCCACTCTGGAGATCCACATCCCCAGGGCATTTCGGATCTGGAGGAAGGACAAAATGGCTTTAAAATAAGGTTCATTTAGAGGTTGTTGATCAGTGTCCCACTCTGGGGGATTTCCCTCAGGCACACAAAGCCATGGCAGCACACACAGAGCTGCTGATTCCCACGGCTGGGAAAAGCAGAAGAGCAGTCCCAGCCCCAGGATTTGGGAGGGGCTGTGGAGCGGAGCTAATGATGGACAAAGAGGGAGACAGAAGGCAGAACTTAAGCAATGCTGAAAAGTGAGAGAAGGCATATTCTCTATAGTTTGCTTTCCCCCAAGACAGGCAGAAATAACACATTTCAACAGGTCCAGGACAAGTTTTCTGACATCCAAAGTAATCCCAGGGTCAGCTCCAGGTCCTCCTGTGCAGCCACTGCCCTGGAGGCTGTTCTGGAAGCATTGCCCCAGGCTGCAGGGGCAGGGGGAGCCAGGCAAGGCCCAGCAGCACCACAGCCTGTCCCTGGTGCCTCGAGGGCCATGGCTGGGGCTGGGGACAGCTGCGCCAAAGGAATGAACCAGGAGTTGTCTTTAAAAGTAAATAGGACTAGAGACGAAAAGAAATTAAACCCTCTCTCCTCAGAGCAGCTCAGGGTGAAATCCTGCTGCAGCACTTACTGCTGGACTTTCCGTCATTTGTTCGTACCCAGTGAGGTGGCAAGTGGTTACCCAGACCCGTGTGGATAAACAAAACAAAAAGCCACCCACTGGTGGGGCTGGGAGGAGAAAACCACAGAGCTGCTCACAGGGAGGGTGGGAACAACAGCAACAGAACCTGCAGCTCATCGAGGGGAGCTGGGCAGCTGTGCCAGTGCTGGGCACAGCCACACTAACCAGCACTTCAACAAACAACATCCAGAGGAGGAGCAACAGGGAAGAGCAGCCAAAGCCTCAAGTGCTGCATCAATAACAGCTGTGTGAGCAGGGCAAGGCAGGGGCTGAGCCCAGCCGTGGGCACGGGGCACTGACCCCCGGGGCTCACAGGTGGCCCCGCGGTCAGGGCACCACGGCCTCAACCAGAACACAGCCTGGGCAGTGCTGCAGAGCCCACAGCCTGCTGGGGGCGCTCCTACACAGTCTGTCCCCAGCTGCCACGCACGAAGAGGCAGGAACGCATTCACTGACTTCTCAGTGTGTGCATTGGCACACAGCGAGGTGTGACCATTCCTCCAGAAAGAAACCTTACGCCAGACTGGAGCTGTCCCTGTGAAGTCACCTTCCCAGTCCAACTCACTGAAACAGCCCAGTGCAGTTCCCTGTGATATTCCAGTCCAACTCACAGTGATATCCCAGCTCAGCTCCCTACATTATCCCAGCCCAGTTTGCCCCAATATCCCAATTCACTGCATTAACCCAATCCAGCTCACTGCGTTATCCCAGCCCAGCTCACTGCGTTATCCCAGCCCAGCTCACTCCAATATCACAGCTCCCTGCATTATCCCAGTCTGGGTCACTGCAACACTCCAGGGAGGGAAAGGGTCCCCTGAGCTTGGAAGGGGCTGGTTGAGGGGGTGGCTGTGCTGGCCCACAGAACAGGCACATTCCCTGGCAGCAGTGCTGCTGGAAGGGCTGCAGGCAGCGAGGACAGCGCAGGGCTTCTCTCTCCCTGGATCCTGTCCTGCACCCCAGGCCTGCGATGGGAATGTGTCCCTGAGATGTGACTCCAAAGTGCCTGAATACTTCCAGTACAGGGTGGGAGGAGGCTGCTCTGCTCTACTCTGCTCCAGGGCCACTGGCTCCCCTTCTTGCCTCCTGCTTACTTAAGCTGCAGGTTGTCCCGCACCAAATGAGTGTGGTTTGAAGGCACTGAGTGGGTGGCAGAGAAAAGCCCAGGAAAGGAGGGGAAGATATGCCTCAGAGGGGACACAGGGAGCAAACCCCAGGCTGGGCATTCCTCACTGTGCAACCTGATCCTCTCTGCCCCTCCCATAAACTCAAAAACAAGACAGTGTAATTGCATGGAATAATTCATTCTTACCAAAAAATGCATTCAGCAATTTCTGCACCTGGATATTGCTGCCCACGGTCCGGTACACACCCTCCGTAGTGATTCCTAACGGGAGAAAGCCAAGGAGCGTCAGGCAAGGTCTTCCCGCTGCTGGGAAGTCCAAAAGCTCCATCTAGTGGAAGTGTTTCCCTCTGCCAGAATCTGGGAACACTGTCCAGTGCCGGGACAGGCAAAGCCGCTGTCTGCCCCGGCTCTGCAATCAGGGTCTGCGCTACCTCACTGCTCCCCACTCCAGCCTTGGCTGCCACGGCCCCAGAGGTTCTGGAGATGAATCCAGGCATCCAGCCGTTCTGAGGGATTCATCTCCCTCCTCAAGCCCACACCAGCGGTGGTCACTGGGTGTCACTGGGTGGCACAGCACAGTGCAGAGGATAAGCTGCCACCGCTCTGTCTGCATCCATCCTGCTGCTGCACAGAATGGGGTTGGACACCCCTGTGCCCCTTTCAGCCCTGGCACAGGCTGCTGGGGCTGCTCTCTGCTGCCCAGCATGGCTGTGCTCAGAGCCAAAACTGAGGAAACCACGAGTGAAAACTGTCCAGGTGGAAGTTCAATCCCAACCAAACTGGGTATGATGACATTCCGGACCACACGGGATTTCTGCTCCTGAAGAACGCGAGTGTAAGTGAAGAACTTGCATTCCTTAGCCAAAAGCTGAAGTCCCATGGCAGCCACTAACACTGTGCTGCACGACCACAAGGTCCCCAGGAGGCACCTCCCGACGCCAGGGCGAGCTCCTCACCTTTCGTCTCCACCGCGTTGATGCACTTCCGCACGAACTTGAAGCCAACCTCGTTCAGCTCCACTGTTTTGGACAAGGAAGCTGTGTTAGCTGCCTGGGCACCCTGGACACCCCTGGGACAGCTCCAAATCCAGCCCCTCTCAGCCCCCGGAGTCACAGTGCCGCAGTGCACAGCCACATTCACACCTGCATCCCACACATCCCTCCAGGAACTGACTATCCTGACCAGGAGCCATTGGTTCCATCTGTTCTCCCATTTTCCCTTGGACTTATTTTGAGTTGCAGCACTGCTCCTTATCCCCTCTCTGGTGCTAACGATAACACATCAGGCCCCACCACATATGAATTGTGTCTGCTAAGGATGTGATTAGTCACTCCTAGAGCAAAATCTGCAGTTAAAGCACTTCCCTGTCATAGAGGCATTTAATTCCTGCTTATCTACATCCCTAGAATTGAAGAGCAAACCCAGCCCAGCTCAGTGTGCTGAGGAAAGCAGAGCACAGGGTCTGTTCCAGCCCAGCTGGCAGGCACAAAG